CAACCCCTCATATTAATCAGAATAAAATGATAGGTAGAATTCAGTCGGGCACAGTCGAAAAAGAATATAGTATAATACGCTGCCTGGACTGGCCGCGAGCTCACAGTCATCCTCCTGTCTCGGCCTCCAGTGGTGAGATTACAAGCACGTGCCACCACACCCTGTTTGCAGAACAATGGCCTGCCTGCGGTGCCCAGAGCAGGGATCGCTCCCCTTTGTGTCCGTGCCCACCATGGGCTGGGCTGAGAAGAATACAGAGAAGCCTGATCAAGGGCGGGCAAGGGAAGCCAGGATGCCTCCGGGGGCGGCGCGGGGCGGGGTGAGGAGGGGCGGGGTCAGCGGCCACCACTTCTGTAAGCGGTGTCCTTCGCGGAGCAGCCAGCAACTGCGTGAGTGGGACAGCGGAGAGGTGAGACCCCGACAGCGGGGAGACAAAAGGGAAACTGAGGCCGGCACCGAGCGGGCGGGACTCCTCCCTAGAGAGTGTGCAGTTCAGGGTGGTTGGCATCCTGGGGACGGCTGCCAAAGTCCTCCCTATCGGTGGGGACTGGGTAGGTTGCTGCCGGCAGCAGCTGGGCGCAGAAGGGAGCCAGAAGGGAGAGGGCCGCTGGCTGCTGGGAATCCTGCCACCCTTGCAGGGGAGCCCTGAGATCCATGGGAAACTGAAACTGTGCAAAGGTTCAGGTATAGGAGTCAGGACTTGCACCCTGACTTTCTGATGCCAAAGCCTGCTTCTCTGCGTGCATGCTGTGGCCGCCTCTCCTGCGCGGTGATGTGTGCACTCGGGCACTGCATGCTCAGATCTGTGACTGGCCATGGCTAGACCGAGACCCGCTGGCGTTCAGAAATTCCGGACAGTGGGTACCTGACGGGTGGGACCGACAAACTTGCTTTTTACTCTAGTCTTCGGTTTTTTCCTAATCTGACTTTTCGGCTTTCTCTGTTCACGTTGGGGTTGTGCAAGCGGCGCCTGAAAGCCTGCTTTGTTTGAAAAAGTTGCCACTGGGGTGTTGGGAAATGGCGTTGCCCAGACTTCATGATGACCGGTTCCTGCCGGTCCTAACCGATCTGTTGCTGGCGCAGTGATTACTTTCAGAATGAGAAAGGCTGGCTGGTATTAATAAATAAAAAAATTAATAAAAGGTATTAATGAGGATTTGCAGGTTTGTTAAGAATAAAAAGCCCTAAAATTCCCCCGGGACAGCAATGGATCGCTGGAAGGAAAGCTCAAGAATGGGGCGGAGCTTCAGGCAGCGCAAGGAAGAGGGCTGGTTCCATTCTGTTTCTAGGTCACGGTCTCTAGGGAGGCCCTAGAGCAACAGGTGCCCCAGACCCACTGGCCCTGTCCCTAGCTTCACAGACTGGGACACTGATGTCCCTGAGTAACAGAAGGTCTGGACTTGCCTAGCCAGGAGTGAAACACTACAGAGGCTGCCGGCTCCAGCCTGGGTGAGGGAGGTGGTCCGGGCATACAGATCGCACCATGGATAGAGAGGTTGGCACTTTCAGACACTGGGAAGAGAATAGTGGTGGTCTGTGGGCCTGATCCTTGCCCAGGGAGCTATATCCCAAGCAGAGGTGACAAAGCTATTCCAGAGTGACTGTGTGCCATTGTGGGCTTTAGAGACACAAACCTGGACAATCTCTTGGACCTCAGTTTCTTCATCTGGAAAGTGGCACTAGCAATAAGCCCCCTTTGGGTCCTGAGCAGGTTGTGTGGATCAAAGAGAGGTGGCTGAACCCTGCCTTGTGGCCACTGTGAGGGATACAGGGAAGCTTTGACAGGATGAAGGAAGAGCCCTGGGCCACTGGGCAGTGAGTGAGCGATGCCTTGGTTCCTTCCCCGGGAGTCGTGGGGTAGTGAAAGTGGAGAAGGCCTGTAGCCATGGCTCTGCTCTCTATTACCCTGCACCCTCTGTCCAGAGTGTTCCCCAGAGGTGGAGAGGTAGCCACTTCCTCCCCCAGAGGAAGTAGTTGAGTGGTCCCCTGCACGGATAGCCACAGCCCTGTGTGAAGTTTTCCAGGGGGATCTTGGTGCCCTGTCTTCCATCCTGGAACATCCCAAGGCCCCTTAGCAATCTGGTAGCAGGGTGAAGCTTTGGATGTTATTTGCCTTCAGGTTGAGTCTGAGATAAACAAAGGGTGAGCAGACTGGCTTTGCCCCCTCTCAGTATTCCTGCCCTGGTCCTCTATACCCTCCAGGGACTCCACCCTGGGCTGATCTCCTACCCAGCTCAGCCTAGCCCAGGGTGACTCAGCTTCATGGGCCCCACCCCTGCCTGTCTGACACCCCTCCAGGCGGGTGACTCAGGAACCGGGCAGTCTCCAAGAGGCCCCCTTTCTCCTTCAGTCTCAAGTGGGGTTGGTGACTGTCCTGTTTTGTGACCTTGAATGGGAATAGGGGTCCTCCCTCTGATCCCCTCAGTGTAGCAGAGTATAAACACAGTCTGACCTTTTGGGGACAGCTGGAGGATGGCAGCAGAGGCCTAGAGTTCAGTGTCCTGTACCCAGATCCTATCCTCATAGTATGTCCTTGGGATAGCCACCACCCCTTTCTATATAGTGGATGGATAATGGGAGACTTGACAGACTGTTAAATCCATCAATAGAGACATTGGTTGATCCCGTTTGGGGACTTCCCGGACACAGAGCATGGACCTGCCTGCCCACTCTGCTGGGCGCTGTGACAGGAGCACTTTTGCCTGCAGAGAGGGAAGGAGGGAAGAGGTATTGCTGCAGGGTGGGAGGGGGCGATTAAGGCTGGCAAACCTCTAAGGCGGGGTTCTCAGGAAGGAAGCCAGTTACACAGGTTCTGACCTGGTAGGAATGTTCAGAGAAGGTGCTGCGGGACCTAAAGGGGTTCCTGATGGCAGGGAGGAGCCGGCCTGGGTTGGAGCAAGGAGCGACTGCCAGCAGGCGTTGGTTTCTTTGTGGGAGATGGATATGTTTGGAACTTGGTGTTGGTCGGGAAGATTGTTAGTTTAAATTTGGGGAGTTTCATCTCAGACAATGAAACATGCTGCTGCTGCTACTGCTGGTGCTTGCTTGTAATCTAAGCCTTTGGGAAGTTGAGGCAGGAGGATTACTATCAGTTTGAGGCTAGCCTGGGCTACATAGTGAGTATCTTTGTACACCTAAAAAGAGGAGAGGAAGCCACAGTATGCAGGCCTGAAATCCTAGCCCTCAGGAGTTAGGAGGCTGAGGCAGGAGGATCATGCAATCAAAGGTTAGCCTGGGCTATAGAGTGAGTTCAGCTTGAGCTTTTGTCTTAAACAAATGAACAACAAAAGCAATAGCAAACCCTGACCCGGCAGCCAGCTCTTGTAGCAGGGGTGATACTGTGACGGGGACTTGGCCTCAGCTAGGGATAGTGACTCTTTCCACCTCTTAGCCCCTCTGATTAAAGCAGAATCTGTGTACCTCATGCTGGTCTAGAATGCACAATTCTCCTGCCTAGGGCCCCCCAGTGCTAAGGGGTTACAGGATGCACCACCATGTTTGTAAGACACTGCAGTTGCCAGTCCAAACTTTGAAAGATGCATAGCAAACGGCCCTCAGGCCCTACCCACTTCCCTCTCTCCTCAGGCAGCCTCTCCAGACTCTCCCTGGTGCCCTCCCCTACAGCTTCTCAGAGCCCCAGATGCTCCCATCCACACAGCTCCTCAGTCAGGTTTGACCTCCAGAACATGCTGCCTCCCCACCCAAGGCCAAGTGGGCCCACCCTGCTTTCTGTCATTCATCCTCTGCAGTGACCTGTCTCTCCCTCCCTCCCCAAAAACTTATGCTGAAAACCGTTTTCTACTCATTAAAAATGTCCTCTAAGCCATGACTCAATGATGTAGGTGAGTCATCCCTGCTACACAGGAGTCTGACACAGAAAGTTCAAGATCTATCTGGGCTATTCTAGTCCCTCCCACAGGCCAATCTGATGGAGGCATATGCTCAGCGGAGGCCAATCTGATGGAGGCATATGCTCAGCGGAGGCCAATCTGATGGAGGCATATGCTCAGCGGAGGTTTCCTCTTTCCAGAGGACTCTAGCTTGTATCAAGCTGACAAAAACAAGCGAGCAAACAAAACTAACCAGGACACTTAGTGAGACTTTGTTTCAAAATAAAAAGTGAAAAGATAGCTGGTCGTGTAATCAGTGGTAAAACGCTTGTCTGGTATGCCTGAGGCTCTGGGTTCAGTGTCCTCAGGGTCAGCAAGAAGAGGAGGAGGAAGAAGCAGCAGCAGGAGGCAGCTGCCATCCAGGTCCAGGGTTGGGGTGGAGTTCAGAACACTTGCCGGCATGCTGAGGCCCTGGCTTGGATTCCCAGCACTCAGAAACGAACAAATGAAAGTCCTCTGAAGCTTGATGGAGGGAGTGTTTGAGACTCCCCGTTGTTGGGCACAGTACTAATGACTTTTCCGTTGCTGTGTTAAAACACCATAGCCATGGCAAGTTATAGACGGCAAGGTATTTGGCTTCTAAGAGCGCTGAGAGTCTATCTTGGTGAGAAGGCATGGTGGCAGGCAGGCATGGTGGAAGGAGCAGGAAGCGGAGAGATCGCTCCTTCAAAGGCAAGCAGGGGGCAGAGAAAGCGAACTGAAGTAGGAGAGGCTTTTGGCTTGCCAAGCCTGCCCCCAGTGATGTACTTCCTCCAGCAAGGCCACAGCTTCTAAGCCTCCCCAAATGGCACCACCAACCAGGAGCCAAATATCAAATATCTGAGCCCATGGGGGACATTCTCATCAAACCACTTCAGGCAGTGAAGTTGTTTTTATTGTACTGTAGATTGAATTTAGGACCTGGCTAATCAAGCCCTCTGTCTACCTACCACTGAGCTACATCTCCAGCCCATAGAATTTGTATGTGGGAGGTTAATTCATCTCTCTCTCTCTCTCTCTCTCTCTCTCTCTCTCTCTCTCTCTCTCTCTGTGTGTGTGTGTGTGTGTGTGTGTGTGTGTGATGTACATGTTTGTGTATGGGTATGGAGGCCAGAGGTTGACATGAAGTGTCTTCCTCAATAGCTGCCCACTTGGTTTGCTGAGGTAGTATCTCTCGGGGAGCCAAGTTTGCCAATTCCTGCTAGTCTGGCTGGGATCCCACACCTACCCAGCATTCCTATGGATACTGGGGATCCAAACTTCACTTTTCACACTTGCACAGCGAACGCTTGACCTACTGCGTCACCTCCCCAGCACAGCTTCTTATCTAATGCAAGCAGACACCCCGATTCTCCAGCTGCTGTCCATGGTGAGTGTTCATGGGAACCATTTTATTTTGATGGGGAAACCGAGCCACTGTCAGGGTACTGACTGGCTTAATACTCCTATAGCAAGCAGAGGCAAAGCAGCCTGGACTTCCACACTAGGGTCCCCCATTCTCTAGCTCACAGGGTCTTGATTCCAGCCCAAAGACTGGCTGCAGAGGGCCCGGGACCAACTATAAGACATGGAAAGAGGGCTGGCCATCAATCTTGAATGTTTTCCTGAGTGTTCATGTGAACGTAGCTTTGTGCACAGGGCAGAGCCTGGCCTAGAGTGCTGAGTGAGACCTCTGGGCAAGGGCATGAGTGTGGATGGGGTGTGGACTCCGCTCTCCTCCCTCACCCATCAGCAATAGGTGGGCTGGTTGATCCCGGGGGACAGGACCTCAGAGGCGCTGAAGGCGATGCTGGGCTGCTTCCCATGGTTCTTTGGAATGTCTTTCACCCACCCTGTGTTCTCTTTCAGATCTTTCCAGGACAGCAGTTGCAGTAGCTATGGCTCCATCCTGGGTGCCCGCCGTGGGCCTCACTCTGGCGCCCAGCCTGGGGGGCTTCGTGGGCTCCTACTTTGTGCGCGGTGAGGGCCTCCGCTGGTATGCTACCCTGCAGAAACCCTCCTGGCATCCGCCTCGCTGGACACTGGCTCCCATCTGGGGCACGCTGTATTCGGCCATGGGGTAGGTGGCTGCAGGTGCCATCTTGCAGTGTCCTGTTCCCCATGGTATCAGGTTGGGCACTGAGCCCCTGTGCAGAGGGAGGCCCCATGACAGAGTGGCATCATTTCCCCCTTAGGGAAGGGAGGGTGGCAAGGCTGCCAACCTATGCATTGCAAGATTGAACTTTCTCCTGCTTGCCTCTGGGAACCCTGCCTGAGCTTACACTACTGAGCCTGTCCCATGTATAAGGGTCAGTATGGACAACGGTAACATGTGCCAAGACAAACAAGTGGCAGCCACATCCTTCGGTCGTACTGTACAGCACCAGACCCTGGTGTGGTCCATTCCCAGAAGCCCTCTGCAGTGGTTGCCTCTTGGTTTCAACAGCCTGCACAACCAAGCTGCCATTTGTTCGTCCCCTTACCCCCAGCCTTCATCCTGTAACCACACACTGACTCAGGGTCTCAATGCAAACCTCCACGGTGATTTTTTTTTTTTAAAGAAACAAAGGCCCAGAGAGGGCAGGCAGCTTCTCTGAGATCACACAGAAGTCAGTGAGTGGCAGGACATACCCAGGCCATCGTGGAGTGATCTTGGGAGGGCAGCAGTCTTGGCCTTGCCCTGGGATGTCCTGACCTGTTGTCTGTTTCAGGTATGGCTCCTACATGATCTGGAAAGAGCTGGGAGGTTTCACAGAGGACGCCGTGGTTCCCTTGGGTCTCTACACTGGTCAGTTGGCTCTAAACTGGGCATGGCCCCCCATCTTCTTTGGTGCCCGGCAGATGGGCTGGGTAAGTGTGGCCGTAGTTTGACTCTGAGGTCATTGGAGATGGCTCTGGGGGAGCAGGTGACCACACATCCCAGATGGGGTCAGTATCTGCAGCTTGGGGGAGGCTGGTGGCTTGGAGCCCCTTTAGAAGTTGCTTGAGTCAGGTGCAGTGGGGCCCCTGAAGCCCCAGCTCTCAGGTTGAAGTGGGAGGATCAGTTGAGCTCAGAAGAGGGCTAGGCCAGCCTAGGTGACAATGACCTGTGTACTAACGCCTCCTCAGTCCATCTTCCCTCCATGAAGAACGTCCAGAGGGCCAGGTTGGAGTGGGTGGGGCTGTGATCTTGGATTTAGAAGCCATGGCAAGAGACACCAGCATTACATCTGGTGCTGTGTGCGTGCTGATACAAGGGGACAAAACCTCTCCTTAAAATGTTCTTATTACAGCTTTGGTGATAGATGCCTGGCCGGTAGTCCCAACAGAGGCAGGAGGATTGCTTTAAGTCTGACAGTCTGGTTTACAAAGCTAGTTCAAAGTCAGCTAAAGACTACATAGTGAGACTGTCTTGAAAAAGTTATTGCTAACCCTGGGGCGTGTACACCACGGCAATTTGACCCCTCACACTGGCCGCTTGGGTCAACACTTGACAATGTATCTTCAGATCAGAAGCCTTCCAGCTGCTGCTTGGACATGCTGTGTCCCCTTGGGGCTGTCATACATGGGGCTGTCTCCATACATGGCACAGCAGGCAGGGACTTAACAGACAGGGAAACTGAGGCTGATAACAGAGAGCAGAGGCAGCTGTCACACCTCAGGGGTGCAGCAGGGCTAAGAGAGACTTCCAACTTTTAGACTCAGCATGGCCTTAGCCTCCCTACCTCCTGTCTCTGCAGGCCTTGGCAGATCTTCTGCTTGTCAGTGGGGTAGCAACCGCCACTACCCTAGCCTGGCACCGAGTGAGCCCACCAGCCGCCCGCCTGCTCTACCCCTACCTGGCCTGGCTGGCCTTTGCAACCATGCTCAACTACTATGTATGGCGTGATAACCATGGCCGAAGTGGTGGCCCACGGTTCCCAGAGTGAGCGCACCCTGCCCACGAGGACCACAGCACTGCCAGCCAGCTACCATGGATGGTGGCCATCATGCTTTCGTGACCACTGGGCCTGCTGGTCTACCTGGGTCTTGGCTCAGGGAGCCACCAGGCAGGTCAGGGTGGTCAGTGCCAAGTCCTACCCAGGGACAGTTGTACCTGCCTTTCTGTACTGCTCCAGGCATGCCCTAGGATCATGGGGCTTTTAAAGCTAAATAAAGTCTTTAACTTTATGTGTAGTGGATTCTGTAGTTAGTGGGGTACCCGGTCTGTGTGACGGCAGAGGTTGTGACCATGCAACATGGCTCTGTTGCTGAGGCTGGGCCTATCTAGGCTGCACCTCCAAGCTTCTCTACTTAGGGTAGCTCACTAATACCCAACAGACAGGAAGAGGGTGTTGAGTACCAGCATCAGTTGACAGGGCCATCTTGCTGGCCCAGACCCACTAAGACCAGGAGCCGTCACCTACCCCATCCAGGGCTCCATCTGGATGACCTATAGCCTCTTTAGGGAGCAGTTGGCAGACAGACAAGGTGTTTTTCACATAAGCACTGCCTCAGCCCCCCCCCCCCATATGCCTCAAGGGTATATATGGTCCCCATGGAGCACAGGTGTCATGTGTCATGGGCACTCATGTCGGAGACTTTCGGTGACAGTGGACCTGAGACGTGGAGGGGCTTCTTGGCAGTGCTCTTGTTGTCACATGCAGGTCACACAGCCCCCGCAGTGCTCCACAGCACGCTACCTGCTGGCCACAAAGCAATTCTGCGCAAATGAGTTATCACCTACGTATGTGCTTCCCCTGTCCACCACTGGAGGCACCCTCTCTTCTGTGCTGACAGCAGCTGTCACCACAGTAGCTTCCTGCAGCCTTTGGTGAGAAGGGCACACTGCCTCTGCTGGCTTAAGTCACTCTCTGGTTTGTGTTCCTTCCTGCAGCACAGGCCTCAAATCTTCCCATTTATGTCTCCAGCCATCTGACTGACTACAGAGGGGCTGGGTGGCCACCTGTCAGCAGAAAAGCCATGTTGACTCTGGATAAGAGGGTTGTCCAACTTCGGTTTCTGGTCAGCAACTGGCATCTCCCTGGAGCCTTGCACAAGGACCTCCAGAGTTCTGCCTCCTACTTCATTTCTCAGCAGCGTTGCTGTGGCCGCCTGGGCTCTCCAGCCAACTCCACATGCCCAAGGTGGGCGTGTGCTGGTCTCTAATGACCCCGTAGATGGAAAGTGTTCAGGGTGTGGACGACTCTGACTGATAGCCAAGCCTGAGGGCTGCTGTTCCAACAGGAGCATGTGGGGAGAGCACCTGATTGCTTCAGAAAAATTTTAAATTACTTTTGTGTGTACATGTGTGTATCACTCACATTTCCCATGGTGGACACACAGGGGCCAGAGGATAACCCGTGGGAGCTGCTTCTCTCTACCATGTAGGTGCTAGGGAGGTCTTCAGGCTGGGCAGCGGGTGCCTTTTCCTGAGGAGCCACCTTGCTGAACTGCTATTCAACACCATCCCCATAGGACTGTTGAACAAATGTCCTGGCACCTTGGGTTCCTGAAGGGCACAGGTGACCCCTTGTTGGGCAGCTGTGCAGAAGCAGGGTGGCTCAGTCTTGCTCCTGGGGCAGCTCTGCTTTATGTTTTGACGTGGCGCCACGAAAGTTCCTGTGTCCTTCATCAGCCCCCATACCCTCTTGATTATCCCAAGATCAAGTTGGGGGTCTCTCATTCCCACCTCATAACAAATAGACAACACAGAGAAAAATGTCATTTCCCAATGACAAGGTAGGCCAAGCCTCAGGCCTTATGATCCCCATAGCCCCTGGGGGTTGGAAATGGAGACAGCACAGGTAGCAGTTCTTCTCCAGCTTGCTGGGCTATCACTAGGGGGTCAAACTGGGTTAGGGAGCTCAGAGGTCTACTGGCTTTTTCTCTCATTTCTCAGGAGCACACATGGTGACGTGCTGGGCTGTGCCTACAACCGTGGGGGAACACAGCTGTCATGCCAGCCCTGGCCTGTGCCTCTAGGGCCCCAAAGAGAAAAGACCAGGTGAAAAGGAGACATTTTATTGCAGTATAAAAGGGCAGGGAGGCCAACAGCTCTCCAGAGACAAAACCATTAGTATCTGTCCTGCCTCTGGCAGTGGCTGAACCCAACATGAACAGGCTTGCTAGCTTGTGGTCCGCATGCCCAGAGATGGGCAGGATGAACCATGTCCAGTTATGCTCAGGTCACTTTTACCTTCAAAAGTACGACAGCCATCACAGTGCTCCACCCTCCTGAGCCGTAGAGCACCCTGGAAGTGGTCCCCACCCGCTAACTGAACCCACTTACTAGTGGGCTGGACCCAGGCACCTGGCAGTCACAGAAACAATGGCAGCTGACTTCCAATTCCAGCAACAAAATAAAGAACTAGATTTTACATTTTCTTTCTGTAGGTTAAGAGAAACACACACACACACACACACACACACACACACACACACACACACACACA